CTTTCTTCATATACTACAGATTCTCCTATACTTCCTCTTTGGGGCCCCATCTCATCCCAGATAAACTCCTTAAATACTCTGAGCCCAGGGACTCACTCTTTATTTTATATAAATTTTATATAAAATAACTAAGATCTTCCACCCTTCTGCCACTTCCTGATCTTGCTCTTTCCTATTCAATTTCTCACCAAAACAAAGAAGCAAAAAACCAACCACCACAACAAAATACACTGCTCTGGAATGACACACACCTCCTTAAAGGGTGTTGGAGAGGAAGAACCTATTTGACAAGCTATAAGGCACTAGCTACCCTTTATTGGAACTGGAGGAGAGAAAACATAGAGATACTTCCTTACTCAGATATTCATGTGATCCCAGGAACTATAGGCCTGAACTGTCATAAGGCCCAGCCTGACTAATCCTCAAGTTTTGGTTTAAAACAAAGAAGCCCAACCCTATGCGCTTTTATGGGCAGTTCTCAATGAGAAGGTTATCCCTCCTTACTCTAATACTTAATTGTAGCTCGGGGGCTCTACCATTTACCTGTTCTTGGGACCCAAGTCCTAGTGCAGACCTTTCCATTGGAAATCCTGGGTCTTTCCCAGCTTTTTGGATTTACAGCAGTGATGATAGTAATAATAATGGTGAGGATGATTATAGCTGACTTTGATAGGGCACTTTCTATGTGCTCGGTACTGGGTAAACACATAAAACCGATTGTCTCCTCTGGTTTCCAAGTCCTAAAGAACTGTTTTAGTTACCCATTGTTGCCTAACAAATTGCCCCAAAACTTAGCAGCTTAAAGCAACACACACTTATCATCTCACAGTTTCTGTGGGTCTGGAATTTGGCCATGACTTAGCTGGGTCCTCGGTTTCAAGTTCTCTCAATCAAGGTGTTGCTTAGGGTCTGGTCATTTCAAGGCTCATCTGGGCAAGGCTTTCATGTCATTGGCAGGATGCAGCTCCTCACTGGCTGGGGGACTAAGAGCCTCAGTTCTTTACTGACTGTCGGCCAGAAGCTGCCTTGTCATGTGGGCTTCTCCAATATGGTGGCTTCCTTCTCAAAGAGAGCAAGCCATGAGGGCAATAGAGAGAGTCTGCTAGCAAGACAGAGGTCACAACCTTTTGTAACCTAATCACAGAAGTACCATCCCATCGGGCTTCCCGGGTGGCGCAGTGGTTGAGAATCTGCCTGCTAATGTAGGGGACACGGGTTCGAGCCCTGGTCTGGGAAGATCCCACATGCCGCGGAGCAACTAGGCCTGTGAGCCACAACTACTGAGCCTGCACGTCTGGAGCCTGTGCTCCGCAACAAGAGAGGCCGCAATAGTGAGAGGCCCGCGCACCGCGATGAAGAGTGGCCCCCGCTTGCCGCAACTAGAGAAAGCCCTCGCACAGAAATTGACCCAACACAGCAAAAATAAAAATAAATAAATAAATAAAATTTTTTAAAAAGTACCATCCCATAACCTTTGCCATATTCTATTGGTTAGAGTCAGGTCATTATGTCCAGCCCACACTCAAGAGGACATGGATAGCAGGCGGGAGGGATCTCCAGGGGTCATTTTAGAAATCTGTCAACCTCAAGACCAATTGAATCTAAGACCTCCTCTGTAAGTTTAACTGAAAGTGCTCAAAGAATTGCACATTGAGGGATGTACAACATTCTTTATGCTAATAATAAATATATTGGACAAAGGATTAGTCTCCAAAATATACAAACAGCTCAATATCAAAAAGACAACCAGTCCAGTTAAAAAATGGGCAGAAGACCTAAATAGACATTTCACTAAGGAAGATATACAGATGGCCAAGAGGCCCATGAAAAGATACTCAACATCACTAATTATTAGAGAAATGCAAATCAAAACTACAATGAGGTAACACCTCATACCAGTCAGAATGGCCATTATCAAAAAAACTAGAAACAGTAAATCCTGAAAAGGGTGTGGTGAAAAGGGAAACCTGCTGCATTGCTGCTGGGAACGTAAATTGATACCACTATGGAAAACAATATGGAGGTTCCTTAGAAAACTAAAAATAGAACTATCGTGCGACCCAGCAATCCCACTACTGGGCCTATACCCTGAGAAAACCATAATTCAAAAAGAGACATGTACCACAGTGTTCATTGCAGCTCTATTTACAATAGCCAGGACACAGAATCAACCTAAATGTCCATTGACAGATGAATGGATAAAGAAGATGTGGCACATATACACAATGGAATATTACTCAGCCATAAAAAGAAACGAAATTGAGTTATTTGTAGTGAGGTGGATGGACCTAGAGTCTGTCCTACAGAGTGAAGTAAGTCAGAAAGAGAAAAACAAATACCATATGCTAACACATATATATGGAATCTTAAAAAAAAATGGTACGGATAAATCTAGTGGCAGGGCAGGAATAAAGATGTAGACATAGAGGATGGACTTGAGGACACAGAGTGCGAGGGAGAAGCTGGGGCGAAGTCAGAGTAGCATCGACATATACACACTACCGAATGTAAAACAGCTAGCTAGTGGGAAGCAGACGCATAGCACAGGAAGATCAGCTCGGTGCTTTGTGACCACCTAGAGGGGTGGGAGAGGGAGGGTGGGAGGGAGGCTCAAGAGGGAAGGCATATGCGGACATATGTATGCATATGGCTGGTTCACTTTGTTGTACAACAGAAACTAACACAGTATTATGAAGCAATTATACTCCAATAAAGATTTGTTAAAAAAATTAAAAAATAAACATATTGACATGTTAGATACTGGAAGTAAACATACATTTGATTAAAATTTTGAATATGGCAAAAAAAAGAAACAGTTGGAGAAAAAGGGAGAAGGGGTTGCTTTAAGGCTACAAGGATAATATCAAGATTAGAAGATGAAAGTAGGTGAGGATAAGGATTGAAGCTAATAAAGATAAAGGTTACGAGGTGAAATGAGGAAGGACTGTACATTATTATTATTTTTTATTTTATTTTATTTTTTTTGCGGTACGCGGGCCTCTCACTGCTGTGGCCTCTCCCGTTGCGGAGCACAGGCTCCCGACGCGCAGGCTCAGCGGCCATGGCTCACGGGCCCAGCCGCTCCGCGGCATGTGGGATCTTTCCGGACCGGGGCACGAACCCGTGTCCCCCGCATCGGCAGGCCGACTCTCAACCACTGCGCCACCAGCGAAGCCCTGTATATTCTTTTTTATCCGGTGACTTTCTCTCTTTCTCCTTGCCCATAACATGAAAGTAGAGCTGAGGAGGTGGTGGGTATGAGGCGAAAGGGTATACATGGAACTTCTACTAGGGCACTGCACAAAGAACTGCTTTTTCCATTGGGATAGTAAATGGAAAAGAATAGTAATGCAGTAATGGAGTATCAAAGAGGAACTGAAGATAACCTTTCTGGACAAAAGTGATCCAGAGTCCCTGTGGGAGGAGACTTTTGGCAGGGACATGTCAAAGCATCAAATAAAAAAGGAAGGAATCAGAGCATGAACCTGCTCTGGAGTAGGGTGTCTAAACCAAAGACAGACAAGATGGAAGAAACCAATTCCAAACAGAAGACAGAAGGCTGGTTCTGGAAAGATTTTTGCTTCTGTTTTTTTTTTTTTTTTGCTCTACGCGGGCCTCTCACTGTTGTGGCCTCTCCGTTGCGGAGCACGGGCTCCGGATGCGCAGGCTCAGCGGCCATGGCTCACGGGCCCAGCCGCTCCGCGGCATGTGGGATCTTCCTGGACCGGAGCACGAACCCGTGTCCCCTGCATCGGCAGGCGGACTCTCAACCACTGCGCCACCGGGGAAGCCCTGGAAAGAATTTTTAAGGCAGTGCTACATAGAGCAATGGTACAGAGGAGAAGACAGGGAACAATTTTTAGCAGCATCTACCAAAAGAAATTTCATTTAATATGTATTTTGTGAGGGGAAAATATTGTAGGACTTTTCAGAGCCTTCAATATTTTAGTGCGCTCTGTGAAAGCCTAAGATATGTTGGGGGGAGGGTAAGGATTGAACAGGCAGCACTTCTCATACGTATTTGTTTTTCATGGAGGTGGAAACATGCTACACATGTTTAGGGAATGCTCTTTTATCAAATACCTGTGGCTTTTTTGAGAGCAGGAACGGTGAGATCTGGTTTAAATACTTCTACTGAGCCAAGTGTGGTAGCCAGTGGTTGAGCAATAAGCAAAAAAATGTATCTAACACCTATGTATGAACAAGAAATGACCCTAGGATTATTTCAGCATTGGGGCTGGGGAAATGGGAAAAGATACAATGGGACAATGGGAAAGATGGGAAAGATACAAAATCAGACTCAGAGCAGAAGTCACCAGATTATTACCATTTACAACCATCCTCAGAAATCCCCTCACATTCCTGAAGATCTGTTCATTACAATCCTTCTCCATAGCACTTTCTTCCCCCTCCTGCTGACACTCCCCTTTGAATCAGGGAGTTCACCCCTCAGCTTTTTTCATGGAATCTTTCCAACATTATAAAGTGAAGGCAATAAAGGGAGAATCACTGAGAGAAGCAAGACAAATATGGTAAGAGCCTTAACAATTATCTTTTTAGGACAGAAAAAGGAAGACGCAATTAGGAAAGGACTCCCTGCCAAACCACAAAGAACAGGGTTCAGCAAGGAATGCTAATTTCTCTAGCAATAGTTTGGAATCACCCGCATGGGAATCAAGAGACTCTTTTAATCAAAGGATGGGAGACCTTCCCTCAAATAACTGGGGTCAGCCTAGGGTCCCATTCAGCTCAGAAGAGCAAGAGAGCTATGCCACGCCTTCCTGCAGTACACAATGCTGCGTTTTTAGGTTAATCAAGGATATTACAGTTACTTTCAATAGTTAATGAATAGCTTCTAAGTGCCTGCTTCATTAAATTGTCCAAAGGCCAGTTGGTCCCAGAGCATATAAAGCTGACAGCTGGCTAATGAGAGCATTCTCTCTGAGCAGGGGAAGCAGGGGAGTGGCAGGGTCAGGGAGCTGGGTTCCAAAGAAGCAGGGATGCAGAACAGAACCTGTCTAGTTCTCTGTGCCTTTGCCCTTCTGATGGGCTTCCTGATGATCTGCCTGGGGGCCTTCTTCATTTCCTCGGGCTCCCTGTTCAACTGCCAGGGGAACCTGATCCTGGCCTATTTGCTTCTGCCTCTGGGGTTTGTGATCCTTCTGAGTGGAATTTTCTGGAGCACCTACCACCAGGCCAGTGAAAGCAAAGGGGTGTTCAGCCGTGTGCTCAGACACTACGGTGCTCAGGGGGCCCTGCCCCTGGCCACAGTGGACAGGTACGTGCTGAGAAGCCAGAGGACTGGGGAGCACTGAGGTGGGGCTGAGTTCCGGAAAAGGTCAATGACTTCTAATCCACTGGCGAGCAACTTACACGTCCCATGGGGCTGTGTGTCTACAACTGAAGTTTTATTGTCAGGGAATGACTCTGGGATTAGACATTAGGAAGAATGGTGCTGCCTCTGGGGAAAACTATGAAGTAGAGGGAATTTATGCCAGAGAATAACCACCCTTCTCCCATCACCACTGAAAAACACACCAAAGCCAATTTAAGAGGCCAAACTCATTTTCTTTTGTTGTATCATGGGAGCTGTCCTTACAGGCAGGTGATGGTTAGTTATTCCTCATAACCTGGCTACCAGGTTGTAAGGAAAACAAGTCCCAGACCAAATTCTGTCACGCAACAAATGAGCAAGCAAGCATGAAATCAGCTACACAATCTCTCCGTGAACTCAGTGAAGTCCCAGCTTTCTGTACTCTCAGGTGTTCTGATCACATATTACATGAAAGATTTCCCTGAGACAAGGCACTCATATTCCAGAGGTAATCATTGGTTAACCTTACTACCTCATACCCATTAGGATGGCTATTATCAAAAAAGCAGAAAACAACAAGGTTAGCAAGGATGTGGAAAAACTGGGAAACCTGTGCACTGCTGGTGGGAATGCAAAATAGTGCAGCTGCTCTGTGGTACGGAGGATCCTCAAAACATTAAATATAAAATTACCACTTGATCTAACAATTCCACTTCTGGGTATATAGACAAAATAATTGAAAGCAGGGACTTGAACAGATATTTGTACCCCAGTGTTCACAGCAGCATTCTTCACAACAGCCAAACTGTGGAAACAACCCATATATCCATCAATAGATGAATGGATAAACAAAATATGGTATGTACAAAAGATGGAATATTATTCATCCTTAAAAAGAAAGGAAATACTGATGCAGCTATAACATGAATGAACCTTGAAGACAATACGCTCAGTGAAATAGGCCAGAAGTAAGCCCAAAAGACAAATATTATATGATTCCACTTATATGAGGTACCTAGAGCAGTCAGATTCATAGACAGAATGTACAGCAGTGGTTACCAGGTGCCAGGGGAGGAGGGAATGGAGAGTTACTGTTTAATGAGTACAGAGTTTCAGCCTGGAATGATGAAAAAGTTCTGAAGATGGATAATGGTGATGGCTGCAAAACGATGTGAATGTATTTAATACCATTGAACTGTACACTTAAAATTGCTAAAGTGGTAAATTTTATGTTATATGTACTTTACCACAATAAAAAAATTTCAGTTAACCTTATGGTAAGTATCGGACAACCAAAAATCTCCTAATTTCTGGCTGAACACGGAATCATTTAGGGATAAAACCTCAGGCATCATCCTTAAGGTACAGTCTGCAAGACTCCATAAATTCTTTTATTCTCTTCATCTAAGATATTGGGTCGGCCAAAAAGTTTGTTTGGGGTTTTTCTGTAACATCTTATGGAAAACCCCGAACGAACTTTTTAGCCAAACAATATTTTAGCTACTCCATGTACCTTGAATATAAGTGATTTTTATCCATGACAGTTGATTTTTGACATGATTATGCTAATTAATAAGATACTAATTACAATGACCAAAATCCATTTCCAATGTTTATTATACTAACTGCAAGGTCTCTGGGTTTGATAAAAAATTAAAGATAACTGAAGTGATTGTAGAAGATGCTTCTAGAGTGATGGTTTTCTTTCTTTCTTTCTTTTATTTTAGTATAAATGTTAGATGATTGCCTCCAGAGTGTGAATTCCTGATAAGAATAACTGATTGCCTTTAGGATGTAGCTTAATTTACTAACACATGCATAATATTGCACTGTCTGTGCTGAAATACTTTAAACTATGGTATCACGACACCTCCCTTTTACTGCCCTTTCTGCTGCATCTAATAGATGCCCAGCCCACTCAGAATGGCTAGTAAGTCACTAAATGGTTAAGTTACATTTCTCAGAAGGATTTGCATTCAAAATGGGTACCCAAAGGGGTCTGCAATGGTGGAATTCAGGACACTGGGAAAGCGAAGCAGTGTGGGGAGACTGGGGGATGGGACAAGTGGATGGGACATGGGGGCAGGCAGCAGTCATCCTGGAGCCTCTCAAATCACTCCAGGGAACAGCTCAACTTTCTGTCTTCAATGCCTTTACACATGTGCCCCAGGGCACAGCCTTGGCTATTCTGAGTGAAGCTCAAAGCTTCAGCTCTTTGTTTTTGGGCCTGGTAACATTGGAATGGAGCTGGTTACGTACCACAAACACTCCCTGTAGGCACTGGAAGGACTCACTCTATAAATACACAACTAAATCAAGCTCACCCTCCCGCTTCTTCACCTCCACGCCACCCCCAATCCCATTCACGATGGAGAAGCCAGAGGATTTAGCAGTTAGCAACACTGGGCAAGATTACCGATGAGTACATCAGCTCTGGCATGAACGGCTCCTTTAGCCATTGGCCTGTTGGCATGGAAAGGACCACGACTGAAATCTACATAAAGTTGTCAGTTGAAATAGTTTGAGAAATAAGTATGGCGGCGGGAGGAAGGGCGGCCTAGCTGATTGAAAGAGTGATAGGAAAGAGAGAAGCATCTGATATAGTTCCGGAATCTTCATGGAGCTGGTTTTCATTCATTATTTTGTTGGTTGTGAGGATCTGAGACAGTGAGTGCAATCGAGTAGAAGAGGATGTGTGTGAATGGGGACAAAAATGTGAATGAACTAAATAACTGGATAGAGAGATGCTCCAGCCAAGGCCCCCATGTCCCCTACCCCTGCTAAGGATCTCACACTGAAAGTCCCTGGTTCCAATGAGTAAGAGAGAGGGAATAGTCTGGAAAAAGATGAGTATAGAGGCACACATCCAACGGCTGATAAAGAGGGTTTTGCTGGAAGAGCAGCACATTTTTAAAAAACTGGTGATGCCAGGGAAGAACATCTGTTTCCGAATCAATGTTTCTTAACAGTTTAACTTCACACGATGTGATTTGAGAGAGGCAGACATATGCCTCTTTGGCATGAACCGCTTAAATAACACATGTATGTTTGTGGCATTTTGTCCCCCAGGCCAGATTTTTACCCTCCTGCTTATGAAGAGAGTCTTGATGCTGAAAAGCAAGGCTGTCCTGCAGAGCAAGAGACCTCGGATGTTCCTCCACCTCCGTATACAGAGATGGGCCTCGAATTTGAGGATGAAGGTGATGCCCACCCGGAGGCCCCACCATCCTATGACGAGTCTGTAGCAGACAGGGTGGAGGCAGCAACGCCACTGCAGGATGCTGAGAGGCAAAACCAAGAGTGCTGAAGCAGGGGAAGCTCTCCAGCCCTCATGACGCACCCTCATGGGATGCAGCTGCTAGTAATAAACCCAGGCAGGGACTGTGGGAAGAAAAGCCACATCAGTGATCCCACATGGGAGTCTGCAGAGGGGATGCTGCGTGTGACAGCAATGCAATTCCGCACACGTGCTTGGCCTGCAAGGGCAGAGCGGAGCCCTGGAAGGGTGTGGTCGGCACCAGGCAAACGTTTCAAAGGACCTCAACCCAGGTGAACTTTTGGACTGCAAAAGTGTTGTGAGAGCTCTGCTCCACGGAGAGCTTTTCTGCTCTCTCAACTCCTCTCCCATTACCTAGACCCCCAAAAGGGAGGAATAGATGCTGCTTGGACACCACGTACCTTCCTGTACTGAATTACTGATAATCACAAAGGGAAAGCATGCTGGCAATGAAGGGGCATTATCATTTAAATTGTGGGTTCTGCTGGCTGGCTTTGAAGTTATCCTCATTTACCGTATTACCAGAGTGACACAGTAATTCACACTGTAAGAGATTTGCCTCTGGAACCCATGAATGTTATTTTGAATGACTTTACTTTAAATACGTGTATTTTATTTCTATGTGAAAGGAAAGTGACTTCACTATTTGCTTTCAAAATGGCTCAAGTACAAAATCTTAAATGAGTATTTTAAGAATGGATGGTTGTACAAGCATATATGATAAGATTTCTTAGAGACTCAAGTTGAATAAAGAGAATACTTAAAAATTCATCATACACAGGATTCAGGAAAAAAAAGAATCTGTACTAGCCATAGGTTGTATTAATACAGAATTGGACATAAATCTTGAAAAGTTTTAAAATACCCATATATTTCAGAGAACCCCCCCTGTAAATCTCTAGGATTTGAAAGAAAGGAGACTATATTGTAGTACCTTAATCATTAACAGAAAATTCTTTGTGTCTCAAGATACAGATCCAGGCACTTTTAGACTTAGGACATTTATTTTAAAGCCCAGTGATTCCTCGTCAGCTTCATTATATCTTATTATAAGTTTTAATGCAAGAGGACAAATCAGGTGGCAGAATGGTGGGAGGAGATGCAGCCTGATGCTTTAGAGCTTGAGCAAAAACCTTCATCTCTCTGGGCCTCAGTTTCCTCCCCCATCAAGGGAGGACTTTATGTTGGGATTAATATCTAACAATCGGGGAATGCCTTTTATATCACAGGCACTGTGTTATGAACTTTTTACGCTTTTTATTTAGCCCTCGCTATAGCCTTCAGAGATAAGTGCTATGGTTATTCCCATTTTACAGATGCATAAATCGAGACTTGGAGAAGTTAAGAAACCTTTCCAACAACATACAGTTATTTCCAGGAGGGTGAAGAAAGGTTCCTAGGGGGCATGGGAAGACATGCTGACTTCACACTTTTGTGCTAGGTTGTGCTAATCCTGTCCTACTTCCTCCTCCCAGGGAACAGTTTGGACTTGTCTCCCACTTGAGGAAGTGGGCCCTAACAGGAAGTGGAGCCCCAGGGTTGCAGCACTATCTTAAAGAGAGGCAGCAAAGGTTGCTTCAGGGTTAACAGTCTGGCTGCTCTTTTAAAATGTAAATAAGCCCTCCATTTTCTGCCTAGGAGCTTGGCCCTCACCTCCTGGTGTAATTTCCTTTCATCTGATTCTTATACTGTTGATGAAAGATGGTTCCTAATGATAATAAACAGCCTTGGTGAACGGGCACAGGAGGGCTTTGGACAGCGGTGGGAAGGATGGAGAGCTTTCAAGAGGATAAGGGTTGTAGAGGTAGGATGGGGCCTCTGTAGCCTCCTCTTCCCTGTTATTGCTGAGTGCTCAGATGAAGCATGTCCTGACAAATACACAGGAAGCCATAAAAGGAAATCCTGGTTCCTTTACACAAAGCAGGACTTTGGGCATCTGTGATTTGAATCCTTGACATCAAGAACATAACTGGACATGAAGGTCACTCGTGGTTCTCCAACAGGAAGGCGGTCATTTATTAGCAAGGCGATTTATTATTTCTCTCTTGTCATCTCTTTCTATTCCTCTACTGAGATGGTTATCCTGAAATTTTCCTTGGGGTCTGAGCACATTCACTGACCTGAACAAGCTCTATAACCGGGCTATCGTCCAGAGTTTGAATTTGTAATAGATGGTTTTTCCAACTACTGGTAGTCATGTGAGACAAATGTAATTTTGGTTTACATAAGAAAATTGCTTTAATCTCTTTCCTGCAATAAATTTTGTACTTAAACTTTCCCCTTTTTTGCTGTTTTGTATCAGAAAAAAAATCAATAGAGGAGCGTAAGTCAAAATTTTATTCTCCATGTGGAACACAGCATCCAGATGAGTTAATCTTTTTGCAGAGCCTAACATCATTGAACATCAACTATTGAGTCAGAAAATGAGCCATGTGCCTTTCATAAAGAAATACGACTAAGAGATATTTATTGCCTTTTTTTTAAAAAAAACCAAATGTACTCTGAAGCAAGCATCAGAAACATGGTTACTACCCACAACAAATCCTGCCTTTGAGAGGCCTACCAATTAAAACCCACTGGGCGAGTCAGACAAAAGTGTCCTGTTGCCCACAGATTGGGAGAAAATATTTGCAAATGATGTGACCGACAAGGGATTGGTCTCCAAAATCTACAAACAGCTCATGTCGCTTAATATCATCAAAACAAACAACCCCGTCAAAAAATGGGGAGAAGACCTAAATAGACATTTTTCCAAGGAACACATACGGATGGCCAAGAGGCACACGAAAAGGTGTTCAACGTCGCTAAGGATTAGAGAAATGCAAATCAAACTACAATGAGATTATCACCTCACACAAGTCAAAATGGCCATCATCAGAAAATCCACAAACGATAAGTGCTGGAGAGGGTGTGGAGAGAAGGGATCCCTCCTGCACTGTTGGTGGGAATGTAAATTGATACAGCCACTATGGAGAACAGTATGGAGATTCCTTAAAAAACTAAAAATAGAACTACCATATGACCCTGCAATCCCACTCTTGGGCATATATCCGGAGGAAAACATGGTACGAAAGGATACACGCACCCCAACGTTCATTGCAGCACTGTTTACAACAGCCAAGACATGGAAGCCACCTAATTGTCCATTGACAAAGGAATGGATAAAGAAGAAGTGGTACATATATACAATGCACTATTACTCGACCATAAAAAAAGAATGAAATAATGCCATGTGCAGCAACATGGATGGACCTAGAGATGTCATACTAAGTTAAGTAAGTCAGACAGAGAAAGAGAAGTATCGTATGATATTCGTCTATATGCAGAATCTAAGAAGAAGTGATACAAATGAACATATTTACAAAAAGAAACGGACTCACAGACTTAGAGAATGAACTTACGGTTACAGGGTGGGGGGAAGGGTGGAGGGGAGGGATAGTTAGGGAGTTGGGGATTGACATGTACACACTGCTATATTTAAAAAGGATAACCAACAAAGACTTACTATATAGCACAGGGAACTCTGCTCAATGTTACGTGGCAGCCTGGATGGGAGGGGAATCTGGGGGAGAATGGATACATGTATATGTATGGTGGAGTCGCTTTGCCCTGCACCTGAAGTTATCATGACATTGTTAATCGGCTATACAATATAAAATGAAAAGTAAAAAAAAACAAAAAGTGTCCTGTTGTGATTAATGAAAATTCATTGGCCACCCCTGGAAGATTCACTCAGGGGAAGTAGACATTGTATCCCCTCTTCCTCCTGAAGTTTACAATCAATTTAATGGTGATGAATCGAGAACCACGATTCTGTGAATGGCAGGCAGGGCACTTAGACTATGAGAAAGTGCAGTCTTTACCCGTTACCTCCTCTGAAATGTGGACGGCGGGGTGGCGGGCTCACGTGTCAACAAGGGAAGGGAAATTCTCAGAGGCGATGACTCTCCAGTGTTTTAATCTTATCACATCTAAGGAGCCACCTCCACCCCCAGAAGATAAGCATGACAAGGTCAGTTATAGAACACGCTGTGCTGCATCTTTTGCACACCTGAAATGTAGAGTATACTTTGGGCCCCTCCACTCAAAAACTCCCACTCGTATCCATCCTTTAAGAGTCTACTTAAGCACACTGTCTTTGGTGAGGTATCTCCCCAGGCCACCTATTTTGTAAGGCACACACTAGGTGCTAAAAGACGTGGGAAGATGATAAAGACATGGGTTTATACCGCATCCCTTCACCATATTCTATGCTCCGTGACATGACAACTTAGGCTGATGCACATACCAAGTGGGTCGTCAGCCGCATGAACCGTCCACTGAAGACGTTTCCAGCTGGTCGGAGTGGAGCAGGCATTCTGCTAAGCTCTGCCGCCTCGGATAATCTCTTGCTGTTTGTAACTTCTGAAGAGCCAAAGACTGATTTACTGGGAGTTACCTCATTTCCAAAGGCGTGTGATGTCTCAGCCCCTTCACCACTCAGGAATGGAAATCTCTTCAAGGCAGGTGTCTGGGATATCAGGGTCCACGTGTTTGGCGAGTAGCCGGTGGGTAATCAAGCAATAAAATGGAGTCATCTGTTATATCACTACGAGTTCCCCCAGGTGCATTTCAAATTCCCCACACCCGCCACAAGCCGTGGCTGATGGATGTGTTGCCAAGGTAAATCCTGTGCCTTACACTGAGCCACGCTGGCCAATCAGAAGTCACCATGCCATTAACCCTGTCATTGCCTGTATTACCTGCAGAGAACACTGGCTCAGTGTGGCCAACTGTCAGCCCATTGTGCCACCACGGGATTGGTCATCAATCTGAAGCTTCCTCTGCAGAAAGCCTTCATGTCTTGTGCAAGCCCTTCAGCCTGCAACATCACGCAGCACTATTTGCGCCAAGAACACGGTAGATGTAGGCTGCACCTTGGATCAGTAAGATGGATAAAAGATCTCATTTTAATAATGGCTGTCTATCCATTTCCAAGCTCAGTCAATAAACTCAAGAATCATAGATGAGGCAAAACAACTTTTTGATCT